TAATTCAATGGTTCTCAAAGCGCAGTCTCCAGACCAGCAGCATCGCTTAGGAACTTGTGGGAAGTATATGTCCTCATTTGTTCATCCAGACCTACTGAATCAGAACCACTAGGGATGGGGCTCAGCATTCTGTTTTAAAAGCCCTCCATGTAATTTTCATGCCTGCTAAAGTTAAAAAACAACTGACTTATGTTGATCAGTGTATGCTTTTTGGTAACCATATCAAAGAGTGACTTTCCCAATGTCTGATTCATAGTAGGCTCTCATTAAATATTACCCTGAAAATGAAAATATACTTAAGTTGTAATGCTACATTCTATAATGTTTACTATCATGTTTTAGTCCCTTTGTAACTGTATACTCAGGAATGAGTAGTTGCCCTCAGATTATTCATTTTCTTTCCCTTTAAGATTAGCTCTTCAGCCTTTTATTTAATATGAAAGGTTATCTTCAAAGAAAATCGTTGCCCGATGCTTCAGTTATTTAATTCTCTGGAGAGTCACTGAGAAGCAAAGTTGGCTCATGCCAATCATTTCTTTCCCATTTTTAAAGAGGGATAGTCACTTCACTGTCAATAATGATTAGTGAATTTTTTTCTAATCTCTTCTGCAGGACCAGCCAGAAGTTCAGTGGCCACGAATTTGTTGTTTTAGAACTTCTAAGTTGGCTTTGAGTCTGCTTAGACAGCAAATTCATCCAAGGGCTTTAATACTCTCAGCTTTGCTTCATGTAATATGTGAAATGAGGAAAAATCAATCACAGAGAATTTTGAAGTGCAATAGGTTTATGGAGACAAAGGGGTTCATACTGTGACATGTGAATTCATGTGTATTATATACCCAAATAATTTTTGATTTGTGAAATTCAGAGGAATCATGGACTTGAGATTGAGTGACATTCATGTGGTACAAATCTCTTTTGCATCTTGTCAGGCAAATGCCCTCTGGGGGTGGGGTTGAACAGCATCCCTGCATATGAGCACATCTAGCTCTTGTGGAGAGGTTCCTCGGGTTGGAGCATCAAAAGGGAGAGTCAGGGCCTGAAATTGTGTATGTGTCCTATGGGAATGAAATAGCAGATTCTGGGTAAAAATTTGCTGTCCAGGGATCACTGAGATTTGGGGGAGGCCCTGCATGAAGCAGGGTGGGGATGTAAGGATGGCCAGGGTGTGCTGACACTCTATGAGGAAGATGAAAAAGTGTGGTAGGGGTGGGAGGGAAATGGGCCTGCAGGGACCCAGGGATCTGAATAACTATAGGGCCTCCCTGGGTAGCATTCCTTGTCATTCTAGGGGGGAAGTGGGTAGGAGCATGCTGCTAGTCTAGAGTTGTGCTGAGTAGTGCTAACCACTCCCTGAGTAGCTCTTTTTTTTTTTTTCCTGAGTGAAGCCAGGTACTGACATCACAGGCTCCAGATTGGTAGCTGGATTTACAGCTGAACCCTGGCCAGCACTGCTCAGTTTTGTACCGCAAACTTCAGTTCATTCAGAGAGAGGGGAGAATTGAACTGTAGAGCCCAGGCTCTGGGAGGCAGCCTGTAAAAACCTGCATTTTGAAGTCCACAAACACTGAACACCTTCCAGGTGCCAAGAACCTTGAAGACACTAGGGATGAAGTGACAAGCGAGACTTCCTGCCCTCAGGGAGCGCCGAGCCTAGTGAAGGGGACAGATATCTAAACAGGTTATTATAATCCAGTGGGTTGATTTTTGTAGACACAGAATGTTACCTGAATCAATTCAGTTTTTTTCTGCCTGAGGAAGTCAGCTAAGTCTTCTTAGAAGAGGTGATACTGTCACTAGGCCAGGTAGCAAAGAGGGGAAGGGGCACTGCAGGCAAAATGAAGAGTGTCTAAAGAAGTATAGTGCTCTCAGGAAATGGCAAATGTTACGTTTTCACAGTAGCAGAAGATACCTGAGGGTGACTGGTGGACCTGAAGTTGGACAGGTGATGTAGAGTCAGATCACAGAGGACCTGTATCTTTCTGGGGGAATAGGGAGCAGCAGAGCTTTAAATAGGAGAGAGACATGATCAGATTTATTTTAGAAAGATTATTCTAGCTCATTTTTGGAGGGTGAATTAGAGGGAGTAGAGCCTTGTCAAAGTATGGTTGAGGCATGGTGAGGGTTTGACTCAGGGCGATTTCAAGGCAGTGGAGAAGTCAAGTTGACTTTTGGACTCTTTGCCCAGCTGACTTCTCTTTTTTAGTTCTATCCTCACCTCTTTGGGGGCTGCTCTGGCTGCTGCTTCTATAGTTGCTGTCTCCATAGTTGCTTCTGATACAGCAGATAGATAGAACTTGAGCCTACATTCTCTCATTTATTACATGGAACATTTTTGTCTCTCAGAGATTTTACAAACTTTCCTAAGAGTGTGGAACTAAAGCTAATTACAAAGAATCCTATGTTAATATACTAGTAAATAAATTCTGTCCTTAAATACCATCTTTTGTGATAAGCAGCATTCTTTGGACTTGACATGTAATCTAAGTGGCTTACACCAGTTGCATTAATTCATTCATGAAACTTTTATTGACATTTACCATGTGAAGGCACTGTTAGCTTTACTGAAGGGTAACATAAAACATACTGAATGACCTCTTGCAGAATGTACCAACACTGCTTTATTCTTTACAGCTATAATGCAAGGAACTTTCTAAAAGCACTTGGTTCATTCATTCATACGTTTACTCATCCATCATTAATCCATCAGTCAGCATATATTGGTTGAGTATATACTTTGTGAAGGCAAAGGAATGAAAGGAGGAACACATTAGGGGTAGAAATAAAAATAGAACAGAATTTGGGTGGAGCTCACAGTTCTCAGAAAGTCCAGAATATAAAAATAACCTCAAGATTCTGGACAACTTACTCTTTAATACTAGGGTCATTTTCATTATTAAAAAGCATCTTGGTTTAGAAAGTGATGTTTTAGCTCCTTAGATAACCTCTCCTATCTTTGCTTCCATGTTTCTCTGGTAGTTACTTGAAGCTTTTGATCACTGGACTGTGGAACTATATTCATCAGGCCACAATAATTTCAAGAAATGAATAATGAAAGTATTTTCCATTATCTTTCTATAGAATTTTCTCCTCAGTCAAAAAGGGACCAAATAGTATGCTTTTCTAGGCAGGTGTGATAGAAGATATTCAGTGTACTCCCCCCACTTCCCAACTGATGGATTCGTTTGAAAAGTGACCCAGTTTCAGAATTTAGCTACTAGTTGTTTGTGTAAAGGGTCATAAGAGACCATCTTAGAAATACTACATACCCAGACATATTTTGACCTTTTCCTACTTTAAAGTCCTGCTTTTAATTGAAGAAGGCCTTTCTCTTTCTATAGTCTTCTACTCTTTTATGGAAAGAGCACTTGCTGGGAGTTAGATGACTTGATTTCTAATCCCAGCTATGCTGCTGACTAGCTGTATGACTTTAGGCCAGGGGTTGGCAGGCTACAGCCTGCTGCCTAATCTGGCCTACCACCTGTTTTTGTAAATAAAATTTTATTGGAACACAGTCATGATTATCTGTTTACGTATTGACTGTGGGTGCTTTCGTGCTATAGCAGAGATGAATATTTGTAACAGGGCCATATGCACCACAGAGCCTAAAATATTTACTATTAGGTCCTTTATGGAAAAAAGACTCCAAGCTCAGCATTACGCAGGTCATTATCTTACTTGAGTCTCAGCTTCCCCACCTGTAAACTTTAGGAATTGGATTAGGTTTTTCCCCAGGGCCCATGTCCTTCTTAGCATTCTGTTACTCTATAGCTCTTCCCACAGAAAAGCCTCATCTAATACAATCACTGTACACTGGGATATAAACCTATTCATGTTTTCATTCACTTATTCAATTCAGTAGGCACCTGGCAATCCTTTGTAGAAAACTAACAAGTCTAAGAGACTCCCTGCCCTTGAGAAGCTTATAATCTGGTTAGAGACAGAGTTACAATGTTCAGAAGTTAAATTATAATAGAAAATAATAAAGGATAACATTCCAAATTTAGTGATTATTATTAAAGGTGTTCAGAGGAGAGAAATCATCATGGGCTGAGATGATTAGGGAAAACCTATAGGGGAAAAGTGGAATGTTTTTAAAGAATAGTCATCTCTATGACTCCATAGAATACTGGATTTAGTGTCCCTCTAAGGTAGTAGTTTTCAAATTTTATAGTGCAGGAAAATCACTTAAGTTACTGGGAAAAAATGTAAATTCCTGGAACCCAGCTTTAGAGATTCTGAATGTAGGTCTGGGGTATGTCCCAGAAATCTGCTTTTTCAAAAAGTACCCCAGGTGATTCTGATATACATGGAGAATACTGCTCTGGAAATTTGGCAAGTTTCTGCCTAGGAATTTATACTAGGTTTGGCCGAGTCTTATTAAATCATGGATTTTGTGTGACCAGGAGGAACTCCACTGTCCATGGAGCAATTACTTCAGTGACTTGCTCTCTCCTTTTAGGGAATCTGAGATCTCCCAGGCCAAGAAGAACAACCTGAGGACTCTATTTCTGAAGGCCATTGAACTCCTTTAGATAAGTCCAGAGGGGAAATCTGAGATCAGTACAGCTGTTTGTCTATGATAGCTGAGGGTAAATCATTGGAGTCAGGGAACTAACTACTTCCATTAGCATTTGACTCTTGGTCCTTTTGTTGTGAGCTCCTTGTTTCTGCAAAGATGGCTGGGGTCAGCATAGTGGGTCAAAAAAAAAACCCTAGATGAGAGAGGTTGGGAATCTCCAGTCTGCATCCCAAACCATGTTGCTGATGACTTGAGCATATCACCAGATACTCAAGATACAGAGGATAGATTCCACCCATGGGAGAATGACCCTCTGAAGAGAAGTTTGGAATTATCATCAGAGCCATGGGAGGGGACATCTGGAAGTCATGTGGGTGATGTTTCATAAGATCCTGTCAGGCCTCCAGTCCAGAAGAGAAAGCTAGATCCACTTCCAAAAAAACATAGACATCTTAGAAAGGTCATAAGGACAAAGAGAATGAGAAAGAGGAAGAGGAAAGTGGAAACCCACTGCCCTGGCATTCTTCCAACGCCCTTGTTACCACCACAAAGTGAAGAAGATGAGGTGGTAGATAAAAAGATGACCCTACTCAGTGCCAAGGAAAGTGATCCTGACCTTCCCAATGAGGTAGGGATGAGGCATGGGGTAGAAAAATTCTGGGCTTGCCACACACACACCAAGCATATACCCAAACGTATAATGGCTCAATACTCTAAAAATGTATTTCTTTCCCAAATAACAATTCTAAGTGGTTCCAGGATGGAGGCTGAAGCAAGAGGACGTGGGTACCACAAAGGCATTCAGTGATCCAGGCTGATGGTGCCTCTGCCAACCTCAGCATGAAGTTTCCATGGGGGATCCTGCGTTACTCCAGAAGGGAAAATAATGACAACTCTTCACCTGGGGTGGGAGGAGCTGGGGATAAGGAACTTGAGAAACAAACTAGGATCCTTGGGCCCAGATAGAGTATGAAAAAACTGGTTCTGAAGGTCAGGTTCTTTCTGTATAGTGCGTTTGCATTGAGGGCTTTTAAACGTTTTCTTCTACTTGCAGGACAGATTACAGAGTCAGCAGGATGAAGGTACCTGTATGATGCATCAGGAATGTCAGATCCAGCCTTGTGAGCTCTCAGTGTCCCAGGAGCTCAGGCCCTCTTCTCCTGCAGTGACATCCTTGGCATCACCACCACTCTGTCTTCGTTGTTTTTTAAGCTGTGTCTGCCAGACGTTCTCAAGGTCTAGGAAGAGGAAATCTCCTGGAGGAGAGGGCACCAGGCAAGCTGAGACAGGAGGTGATGCTAAGGCTCTGAGACCTGGTCTGCTGAGGGTTCTAGGCAAAAACAAAGTACAGCCTCACTGAAGTCTGTAGCCAGTTGAAATTGATTTAGGTTTCCCTTGTGTTTAGTTTAATAGTTTTCTCTGTGTCATTGTTCCTGTTAGTTGAGCTCTTGTCTGTCTAAAAGAGCTGCTTTTAAGTTGAGATCCTCAAGCCTGAAGAGGTAGTGAAAGCAAAGTAACTTTGAGGCTTTTAATACCGTGCCCAGGAGTGGGATTGCTTCTTACTTCCTCCCATTAGACTGAAGTAGGATTCACTCTGGAGCAGTGGTTCCCAAATTCATGCATATTTCACTCATGTATTTAGTTGGCTTAATTTTCACTAACTTCCCTGAGGATGGAAGTTGTACAGTTTCATCATTTTGAGTAATGTCTCCTGATATCTATCACCAAGTAGAGATTTCTTATGCCCAGCTCCTCTCATTTTTTCTTTTTAACCTTTAGCTAGAGATTCATTTTGCATTCTTCATTTTCAATACTTCGTTGAAATTCTGCCACTTTCTACTTGATTTGGCTATGCCAAATCAGCGGGTGGTGGTTATTACTGTTCTTTCACATGATGTCACAATTACTCTCCCATCTCTAAGCATTGTTTCATTTTCTTTTTCTTACTTGTTAGTAAGGTACCTGGCTTCTGAAGTGTGTCTGCGGTGTTCTCTCTGTATTGAAAACATAGTCACACTAGGTAATGCTTCTTCCTTGTCATTCTTTAGCCAGACTCTCACAGAATCCTGAGTTCTTCTGAGAATCCCAAATACAATAAGTACTTCAAAAAAAAGTTCTAGATCATTTCACTTCCCCCTTGTTCTGGTATGCTGGGTTAATCCTCTTCCCAGGATAGAAAATAAGAGTTTAAATTAATCTTATACCCTCCTAGGAGGAGGGAGTAGGTTTAAGAAGAGTTTGAGAGTTTCTCTGTAACTTTAATTACCTATTGTTATTTCCTACTTGTCCCAGTTTCCCAACTCATATAAGATTAATAAATAAAAGTAGAAATATCAATAAGTGTGTAAAGGATCTGCATAGGAAGGAAGTTGTATATTTTCTTGCTTCCTTAAGACTGACCTTGATGGTTACTATATTGGAATTAGAGAAGATGACCAATATGTTTGTTTTGTTCTTTTCTCTCCTGGAACAGGGCTTTGTACTGTTGAGAGAATGTAGTTGGAAAGGGAATAGAATGAGTTGCAAGAGCAGTGGCAAAGATCCTTAAGACTCCCTTGGAGGTAATTGGTAAAAATTGACCTTGAAGAAGTCTTTTGTGTTATGGTGTGTTGACGATTTCAAATTAGAATTAGAAATTTTGCTAAATGTCATACTCAGTGCCTGGAGTAAAATGGGGCCCATTTCTAAATCAGTCATGCTTTGAAACCTTTATTTTTTTTAAAAAGTCATTGATTTCTTGTTTTAGAAAGTATGGAGTTTTAATAGAGTTAATAGACCATTGGAAATGGGCTCAAGCTATTACATGAATTTCAAATTATCCAAACTATATTTATGTGCATGTTTTCTCAATTTAATACAGGCAAGGCATAATGTACATAAAGTCTTGAGTCATAGAGCCTATTATTAAGGGCTCAAAGGAAGGTAGATATTAGTGTTGCTATTAATACTTTAGTACTGTTATTGTTTCTTATCATAAGATGTTTCAGGATGAGCTGTTTTATCATAGAAAAACTGTCAATTGGAGCCTAGTTTGCCATATCTCCAACCCGTCTCCCATACTGATTTTCACATAAGGTTTATTTACTCCAAATTTAGAGGACAGGTTTCAGATAAGGAAAGATCTGTATAAGCACTTAGTTTTGAAACTCTTTTGCTCATGTGTCTTGACCCCTTGCTCACAAACAGGAGAAAGGGTGTCCACCTCTCTTCTGATGCATTTGTAAATGAGGAAGTGCATGTTCTCTGGTTTCAGATTTTGTGTTGCTTTTTTTTTTTTTTACAAGTAATAAACTTTATTAGAAGTTGAGTATCTGTTAATTAGCAGGCAGCTATATAACTTAACTATAAAGCCACTACAATTCAAACATTGTAGCATTACTACATGAATGAGCACATATACAAATTATACAGAAAAGAATATCCACAAATAGTTCTAAGTATGTCTGGGAAGTTTGATTGTGACAAAGTCAAGGTATAATCTTTAAAATTGATGCCTAGAAAACTACACACTCATTTAAAACTAAAGTCTGTACCTCACACTACATACCAAAATAAGTTAAACCAGTTGCACATGTAAGAAGCTTGCAAGATGCCACTTTATCCTAACAAGATGTGTCTTTTACAAATGTTTTCTCCCACTCTGTGGCTTGTCTTTTCATTATCTTTTTTTTTTACAGGTTTCTTCTTTTATTGATTAAAATTTAATACATATTAGATGAATAAGTTCACACGGTTTTCCTTGACAGTGGCTATTATCCTCACGTTATGTAGGATGCAATGGGAGCATTAACCGTGACCTTCTTTACCCAAGAACAAATGACCATAGTTAAGAAGCCAAAATTTCTGGCTTTCAAAACATGTATTCTTGTTGTAAAGATAATGGAACATTTTTTAAAACAAACTGAAAAAAAAAATCACTTATTAATCCATCCCCAGCCCCCAGTACAATAATAGCCTTGGCCTTTTGTCTTCCACTCCAGATGCTGGTGTCTAGGTCTTGCTCTTTCCCAGTTGTGGTTTATGTTCCACTGCTACACAAGCAGTTTTCTAAGTCTGCAGATGGTGGAAGACTCAAGGAGGTTTTTTCTCTACAGCTTTATCAGCACTGATGAAATACTGGCAGGGAGAAGAGATGGGAGCTTCAACTCTTTCCAAAGAAAGAAAGTTTAGGGAAAGAGGGGTAATTCACATTTGGAAGATTAGAGGATAAAAGAAAGTCTATTTTCTTAGATGAATAAGGGTTGATAGTCATAAATGGTTTCTGCAGGTTCTCATGTTTGTGAAGAGCCTTGTGTATCCACTCACTCCTCCATGCCACCTCCTCATGTACAGTCTTCAAAAAGAGATGAAACTTGCCCCCAGTGATCTAAAAGTCAAGGTCCCAAATAAATTCTCACACTGATGGTTCTGACAAGCACCAAACAAAAGGAATTAAGATAGTACAGGTAGCAGACAAATAGCAATAGAAAATGAGTTAGGCAGTGATCCACTAATTTCTTGTTGATTTTAGTCCTTTGCTCATAAAGAAAATTAACATAAAGTGTTTATTTTTTTATATCTTTATTGGAGTATGATTGCTTTACAATGGTGTGTTAGTTTCTGCTTTATACCAAAGTGAATCAGTTATACATATACATATGTTCCCATATCTCTTCCCTCTTGCTCTCCCTCCCTCCCACCCTCCCTATCCCACCCCTCCAGGCAGTCACAAAGCACCAAGCTGATCTCCCTGTGCTATGCCGCTGCTTCCCACTAGCTATCTACCTTACGTTTGGTAGTGTATATATGTCCATGCCTCTCTCTCGCTTTGTCACAGCTCACCCTTCCCCCTCCCCATATCCTAAAGTCCATTCTCTAGTAGGTCTGTGTCTTTATTCCTGTCTTACCCCTAGGTTCTTCATGACATTTTTTTTCTTAAATTCCATATATATGTGCTAGCATATGGTATTTGTCTTTCTCTTTCTGACTTACTTCACTCTGTATGACAGACTCTAGGTCCATCCACCTCATTACAAATAGCTCAATTTCGTTTCTTTTTATGGCTGAGTAATATTCCATTGTATATATGTGCCACATCTTCTTTATCCATTCATCCGATGATGGACACTAGGTTGTTTCCATCTCCGGGCTATTGTAAATAGAGCTGCAATGAACATTTTGGTACATGACTCTTTTTGAATTATGGTTTTCTCAGGGTATATGCCCAGTAGTGGGATTGCTAGGTCATATGGTAGCTCTATTTGTAGTTTTTTAAGGAACCTCCATACTGTTCTCCATAGTGGCTGTACCAATTCACATTCCCACCAGCAGTGCAAGAGTGTTCCCTTTTCTCCACACCCTCTCCAGCATTTATTGTTTCTAGATCTTTTGATGATGGCCATTCTGACTGGTGTGAGATGATATCTCATTGTAGTTTTGACTTGCATTTCTCTAATGATTAATGATGCTGAGCATTCTTTCATCTGTTTGTTGGCAATCTGTATATCCATTTTGGAGAAATGTCTATTTAGGTCTTCTGCCCATTTTTGGATTGGTTTGTTTATTTTTTTGTTATTGAGCTGCATGAGCTGCTTATAAATTTTGGAGATTAATCCTTTGTCAGTTGCTTTGTTTGCAAATATTTTCTCCCATTCTGAGGGCTGTCTTTTGGTCTTGTTTATGGTTTCCTTTGCTGTGCAAAAGCTTTGACGTTTCATTAGGTCCCATTTGTTTATTTTTGTTTTTATTTCCATTTCTCTAGGAGGTGGGTCAAAAAGGATCTTGCTGTGATTTATGTCATAGAGTGTTCTGTCTATATTTTCCTCTAAGAGTTTGATGGTTTCTGGCCTTACCTTTAGGTCTTTAATCCATTTTGAGCTTATTTTTGTGTATGGTATTAGGGAGTGATCTAATCTCATACTTTTACATGTATCTGTCCAGTATTCCCAGCACCACTTATTGAAGAGGCTGTCCTTTCTCCACTGTACATTCCTGCCTCCTTTATCAAAGATAAGGTGACCATATGTGCGTAGGTTTATCTCTGGGCTTTCTATCCTGTTCCATTGATCTATCTTTCTGCTTTTGTGCCAGTACCATACTGTCTTGATTACTGTAGCTTTGTAGTATAGTCTGAAGTCAGGGAGCCTGATTCCTCCAGATCCGTTTTTCGTTCTCAAGAATGCTTTGGCTATTTGGGGTCTTTTGTATTTCCATACAAATTGTGAAATTTTTTGTTCTAGTTCTGTGAAAATTACCAGTGATAGTTTGATAGGGATTGCATTAAATCTGTAGATTGCTTTGGGTAGTAGAGTCATTTTCACAATGTTGATTCTTCCAATCCAAGAACATGGTATATCTCTCCATCTATTTGTATCATCTTTA